TGACAGGTGAAGAAGGAAGATATGAAAGAACAAAAGAGGGTGCGGAGGTTGAATGAGACCAAGATTTAAAAATTAAGCCTTAAGGCCCCTTTCACACGGGCGTTCCATATGTCCGCTTTCCATCTGTCCGTTTACAGATGAAAAACGGACACCCATGTATTTATTTGGACTAGCGGATGAACAAGGAAGATCATCTGTTTACATCTGTTAATGTCTACATCCGAAAACCCTATTTTTCTTCCATTAAAAAAAAATGGAATGGATATAGACGAAAAATGAATGTAAATGGACAAAAAAGGATGTAAACGGATGTAAACTGATGAAAAACAGATGTAATCAGATGTAAACTGATGAAAAACAGATGTACACGGACAAAATGGATGTAATTGGAGAAAAGGGATGTAAACTGACAAAAATGGATGTAAACGGAAAAAAATGGATGTAATTGGAAAAAAGGGATGTAAACAGATGAAAAACAGATATAATCAGATGTAAACAGACAAAAACAGATGTAAATGGACAAAAACGGATGTAAACTGATGAAAAATGGATGAAATACGGATGTAAACTGATGAAAAACTGCTTGTGAACTGATGAAAAACTGATGTAAACTGATGAATGACTGATGTGAACTGATCTGTTTTTCTTGGAAAAAACATGACTGAACTGATGAAAAAAACAGAACGCCCGTGTGAAAGGACCCTAAAAGATTCTATAACCAAAAGTGCACCTGTCATGAAAGATCTTTAGTGGCTACCATTTGCATTTCCATTAATGCATGCCTTGCTTGTTCTCAGTCCAGTAGATACATTTCCTCATTACATTGTAGCTAAACTCATTTGCATACTCACTTGCTCCAAGCGAACTCAAGAGTACATTGCAGCAAAGAAAGTATAATTTATGGATTTATGGCTATGGCAGTGAGCATACTGAATTAAACAGGTACTGTATGTAGATTTGATACCTTGCATGTTCTCACTCCTTGCCTGCAGTTATAGAGAAAGGAGGCTTTTGATTGGCTGGGTATTGGTGGCAACAGGTGCAAGTCCCCCCTCTCCCACTTCTTCTAGGATACAACAAGTCACCTGCTTGTAGTCCTCTACCTCTGCCATATTATGCCATCTCCTTACCAGAGGCCTTCCCACAGCATCCCCAGCCATTAGACCTTTATATTCAAAGAAAAGAATGCCTTCGCAAAAAATATAGTTTCAGCACTTTACTGGTGTTCTTCAGAAGATGGCATTTGACACACCTTATCACACAGACATATTATCGGGGGTCGCTGGCATTACTTTGCCAACACATATGGTGGAAGTATCGTAGCAGTCATTATGTGAAAGCAGCACATTACTCAGCTCTGTTAAGCCATCTTCCCTTTTGTATAGTCTTTCTCTCCTTGGGAACAGCACAGTGTTGGGACCCATCTCCCTGTACACTCTATCTGCAGCATTCTGCTCTAATCAAACTGAGATTCTCAAGATGAAGCATTCTCCTCTGTCAGCTGAGATTAAAAAGGCTCGATCTACAGTATACCAGTCATAGGCATAACTAGAACATTCAGGACCCTGTTGCAAGAAACCATGAAGGGCCCCCCTGAACCCCGGCTTGAGCCCTTTACTCCCTCGTGGGACCCTTTAATTGGGTTCTGCAGTGGGTCCTTTTCACATGTTCTGCAGTGGGCACCCTTCCTGCTGTCTTGGGGCCCCCCACTGTGACAGAATACCAGGGTTTGTTTTCAAGTGTGACCTTTGCGACCCTGGTAGTTCCGCCATGGATACCAGTCTCTCCTATCAAGTCCTACTCCGTAGCTCTAACCAGCTGGGTATGCTCCCTGCTGTCACAGCTTTCTATATGAATCTCTGGTGTGCACTAGGATGTCGTCACAAGGAGATGGTAGATGGGTCTGGTCATCTTTGCTTATTAAAACTGATTTGGAAAGATACATAATTTATTAAGGAAATACAGATTGCAGCGTTGAACAGTCATGCTTCCCTGTCACCAACAGCAAGTTCATCATTTTCCCTATCAGTGCTATGCTTGCCTACTGTTCCCAATTTACAAGGACAAGTTCCATATTGTAGAAAGTTGTCTCTGGAAACCTTTTTCTCTCTGGATATGTTCCTAGTCTTCCTTTCCTTATTCCAGAGTCATTAGTAGTCATGACAGGACTTTCTCTTGCCCACTGGGCTTTCGGCATCCAGCTCACGACTCAACTCTAGTCATTCCAGAGCTAAGACCTGCTCCTACTGACCTCTGCACACTTCTCCTGGTACTTCTGCCCTGAGCAGGGCCTTGGCTGTGCTGGCTACATCTGCAGAGGTGTGGGGCAATTGGTTTCCATGCCCCATCTGCAATTAATCTCCTCCCAACCTTGCTTTTATATGGACACTAACTACACCCATTACATCACAGACAGGCTTTGTCTAAAAGGTACCTAACACCTAATTACAATATTCACTCGCTACCATACACTATTTTGGAATAGAGTCACCTTTTTTGCAGACTAGTTAACTACACCTGCTTACATGCAGACTGGTTAAATATAAACAAAACAATAGTTACTCTAGCCCCCTGTTGCCCAACCTGTGCCTCAAGGGTCACATGAGTCATTTCAAAGCCATTGTTTCTCATTTTTAGGGACTCTTTAATGATTGGCATAGTACCGCTGGATTGGCATAAGGCCGATGTGGTGCCTATATTTTAAAAGGGGTCAAAATCTTTACCAAGTAATTATAGACCTGTTAGTTTAACTTCCATAGTTGGGAAGATACTGGAGAGTTTAATAAAAGACCACATAGATGAGTTCTTGCTGGAAAAAAATATTTAAAGCAACAGACAGCATGGATTCATGAAAGACAGAAATTGTCAAACAAATCAGATTTATTTTTATGAGGAGCTGAGCAAAACCTTGGACAGAGAGGTGGCTGTGGACGTGGTATACTTGGACAGAGGGGTGGCGGTAGATGTGGTATACTTGGACAGAGGGGTGGCGGTAGATGTGGTATACTTGGACAGAGGGGTGGCGGTGGACGTGGTATACTTGGATTTTGCAAAAGCATTTGACACAGTTCCCCACACGGCTAATGTGTAAGGTAAAGTCTACAGGCTTGGAAAAATCCGTATGTAAATAGTTAGAACACTGGCTAAAAGATCATATTCAGAGAGTAGTGATTAATGATTCATACTCTGAATGGTCTAGGGTTGTCAGTGGTGTACCCCAAGGTTCAGTGTTGGGACCCTTACTTTTTTAATATATTTATAAACAATATAGGGTCTGAGATTACAAATCCCATTTCAGTCTTTGCAGATGACACCAAGCTGTGCAGTGGAATAACGTCCTTACAGGTTGTCTCCAACTTACAACCCGACCTCAATGCACTGTTTAATTGGGCAACTATGTGGCAAATGAGGTTTAATGTTGATAAATGTAAGGTTATGCACTTGGGGGCTAAGAATATGCATGCATCATACATACTAGGGGGAGTACAACTGGGGGAATCAATGGTGGAGAAGGATCTGGGGGTTCTGGTAGATCACAAGCTTAATAATGGCATGCAATGCCAAACTGCGGCTTCTAAAGCAAGCAAAATCTTCTCTTGTATTAAAAGAGGTATAGACTCCAGAGAGAGAGATATCATATTACCCCTGTACAAATCATTAGTAAGACCTCATCTGGAATATGCAGTTCAGTTTTGGGCACCAATTCAAAAAAAGAACATTGGGGAACTGGAGAAAGTACAGAGAAGGGCAACCAAACTGATAAGAGGCAAGGAGGAGCTCAGCTATGAGGAAAGATTAGAGGAACTGAATTTATTCTTTCTTGATAAGAGGAGATTAGGGGGGGATATGATCAACATGTATAAATACATCAGTGGTTCATATAGTGAACTCGGTGTAGAGTTATTCACCCTGAGGTCATCACAGAGGACAAGGGGGCACTCTTTACATCTGGAGGAAAAGAAATTTAATCTCCAAATACGGAAAGGTTTCTTCACAGTAAGAGCTGTGAAAATGTGGAATAGACTCCCTCAAGAGTTGGCTCTGGCCAGCTCAGTGAATTGCTTTAAAAAAGGCTTGGATTATTTCCTAGATACACAGAATATAACAGGATACTAACATTTATAGGTAAAGTTGATCCAGGGAATATCCAATTGCCTCTCTGGGGATCAGGAAGGAATTTTCTCCCCTGCAGGAGCAAATTGGATCATGCTTTGCTGGGTTTTTTTGCCTTCCTCTGGATCAACTGTGGGTATAGGATTATAACCTTTTTTTTTCTGGTTGAACTGGATGGACGTTTGTCTTTTTTCAGCCAGACTAACTATGTAACTATGTAACATAAGACCCTTTGGTATGTGGAGTCCAGCCCTTGGACCTCAGCAGAATGTAGTGGGAACATCGATTAGGGTAAAGCATTGATCCCTACTACCCTCACGTAATATGTTCCCAATTTCCTATTGTCTTCTTCAGGGTATCTCCAGCCAAAAATGTAGCATTTCCACACTCTCTGACCCTCCTTTCCTCTATTAGGTCTTCAGTCATCCAAAATATTACATGTCCTCTAAAATATTACATGTCCTCTAAAATATTAAAATTATGTGCGGCCCTTTGGTGATGTCTGAGGCCACATTTTAGGCCCGCTTTAGCTCATAAGTTGACAACCACTGCTCTAGCCTGCACCTTTGATGGCAGCTCTCATAACACAGGGAAAATAGGCAAAATTAATTTGCTATATTAGTAAAGCTACTTTGTATTCCTTGATGTAAAATGATGTTGTGATTTAAATCTTTCTTTATCTTGACTTCTTGCATTGATTCCAATGGTGGGAAGTTTGCAGTGGTGCCCTATGAAGACTCCTACATAATCCTCCATTATGCTAAGTTCACACAAGCCTCCAGTCTATAGGCTGGTTGCGGGTGCAGAAATAGCAACTGTTCCCGCACACGAAACCACCCGCAAATCGTGCTGTTCTTTTACGATACACGCATGGCTGCCTTTCATTCTGAATGGCACCCCCATGCATCTCAGCCTGAACTATGTTTGCGGGTTCCATAACTGCAGTGAAACAGCATGGTCAAAAAGATCATGCAGTTTTCCTGTGGCTGCGTTTTTTTTAAAAAGGATCAAGCACCTTTAATTCAGGATACCCAGGCAAAGCAGCCCCTTCAAATAAATGGGCTGCCATGCCTGAGAAAACATGGGCTGCAAGGCAGTAGTGTGAACCTAGGCTTATACTGTATCAAAATGTTCAGTGTTCAGCTGGAAAAAACAGACCCCCTCTTGATATCTGTGGGTTGTGAATAGAAGGATTGGCCCAGTATCTTGCAACTACAGTTCTATCTCACTGAGACTCCAGGACCTTTCCACCAACCCAGAGTCTCAGTTCCCTTTAGGAAAACTGCAGAGTGTTAGACCCTTGGTAGATTGGAGTTGCTGAGAACACACATACAGTGCTCTTGTTGATGGAGTATTAAGCTTGCCATACCCTAGTAGATTGTCAAAGGAACATTCGTACAAATTCATACACAAAGTCTTAGTACATTTAATGACTTGACAAATGTCTTTCGAAGGTACTTCAATTTCATCTGCTATTATCATTGATTTTGGAATGAATGAATTTGTTTGAAAATGTTTCCATTCTGCTTCTTCAAACTTTCTTGTCACTGTGGTCAAAAACAAACGTTGATTTGATCCTACTAATGATTAATAAAATCAAATGAGTGTTCTTGAAATAAAAAAATTTGGACAAAGTTCAAGTAGTGTACGACAAACATTAGACATCAGGTACCAATGGCCAATTCAGCCCTCCAACATCGATCTCGGTAGACATCTCAATTTTTGGTATACCTATGCTTTGAATTTACTAGCCTCCGGCTATACAAAAGCTAAAACCAAAATGATACAGAATAAAAAGTACATTAACAGTCAAAGAATCTTGTCTATTTAATTTTCTGCACCTCCCTAAAAAAACAAAAACAAAACAAAAAAAAAGCTTTTGAAGCACAGGCTATATATAGTGTATTATATTAAAAGAATTTAGCAGTAAGCAATAAAACAACAATCCATGGAGCCTGTCATTGAGCTGTCACTCTGCAGGGCTGCAGATTTTGCACAGCTGCAACGCACTGATCCAGATTTGCATATTCACTGCAGTACGGCTTCAGGGGGCTGCGATCTGACAGCAGACACTGTCATCAAAGAAGCTTGTCACTCCTAAGTCGCATCATAATGGTGTCAAACTGAGCTGTTGGTGTCAAAAGCATCCAATGAGAAAAAAAAGGCAGCCAGGATACTGGGACCCCCCCTGTGTCAGGTTACTCAAGGTGGCAATCCACCCCCTCCTGATGATGAAGATGTGTGCTACCCTGTAAAACAAAACTGCAGAAGATGTCAATGTATGTGTGTGTATGATTTCATTATCATCAGTCTTATTTTTTTATATATAGCTCCAACATTTTCCCCAGCATACTTGGGATAATACCATTATTTATACATTAAAGTGAACTGGTACTGGTCTGGCTAAATCAGTCCTTCTGTGATATTAGTAAAGTAAAAAAAAAAATACAATAAATAAAATATATATATACAGTATATATATATATATATATATATATATATATATATATATACACACACTATATTGCCAAAAGTATTGGGATGCCTGTCTTTACACACACATGAACTTTAATGGCATGCCAGTCTTAGTCTGTAGGGTTCAGTGTACAGTTGGCCCAGCCTTTGCAACTACAACAGCTTCCACTCTTCTGGGATGGCTGTCCACAAGGTTTAGGATTGTGTCTATGGGAATATTTGACCATTCTTCCAAAAGTGCATTTGCGAGTCAGGCATGATTCAGATGAGAGAGGTCTGACTCACAGTCTCCGCTCTAATTCATCCCAAAGGTGCTCTATTGGGTTGAGGTCAGGCCAGTCAAGTTCCTCCACCCCTAACTTTCTCATCCATGTCTTTATGGACCTTGCTTCATGCACTGGTGCACAGTCATTTTGGAAAAGTAAGGGGTCATCCCCAAACTGTTCCCACAATGTTTGGAACATGAAATTGTCCAAAATGTCTTGGTATACTGATGCCTTAAGAGTTCCCCTTAGTTCACTAGAACTAAGGGGTCAAGCCCAACTCCTGAACAACAATGCCACGCCATAATCCCCCCTCCACCAAACTTTACCCTTGGCATAATGCAGTCAGGCAAGTACCATTCTCCTGGAAACCACCAAACCCTGGCACATCCATCGGATTGCCAGACAGAGAAGCATGATTCGTCACTCCAGAGAAGCCTTTTTCAACCGGGGTGCCTTCAGGTTTCTTGAGGGGTGCCTTGGCAAAATGCTTAAACATTGCCCAAAAATCATATACAAGCCAGCAGGTGGCTCAAGCCTGCCTTTTAATTCCAAAAAGCCATGGGTTTTCATTGTACACTATTACAATCTTCCAGTCACCAGCATCCTTACAACAAATGGCTTCATTGGTTGGTAAGGAGGATGTTGGGTACCTGCACAGCATCCTTGTTTGCCTCTCCCCTGCCCCTCTCCATCAGCACTGGGGTGAGGGAACAGAGAAACATTGGAATAATAGTCAGTGCCAGGGTGCAAAGGTGTTTTTGCTTTGGAAGAATAAATCCCCTCTAACGTTGGGTGTTCTACACGTGTGGATGTTGCTGCATTATGTATAACTATTAGTTTAGTTTCTTACATCTTAGAATGGGTGCCTCGAGAATGTGTAAGATTTTAAAAGGTGTCTTGAATGAAAAACGGTTGAGAAACACATCGCCAGTGCTCTAGAGTCCAGTGGTGCTTTTCACCACTACATCCGACGCTTTGCATTGCACTTGGTGATGTAAGGCTTGGATGCAGCTGCTCGGCCATTAAAACCCATTCCATGAAGCTCTCTACGCACTGTTGTTGTGCTAATCTGAAGGCCACACGAAGTTTGGAGGTCTTTAGCTATTGACTCTGCAGACAGTTGGCGACTTCTGCGCACTGTGCGATTCAGCATGCTCTGTCCCCGCTCTGTCATTTTACGTGGCCTACCACTTGGTGGCTAAGTTGCTGTTGTTCCCAGTTGCTTCCACTTTGTTATAATACCACTAACAGATGACCGTGGAATATTTAGTAGCAAGGAAATTTCACGGATGGACTTATAGCACAGGTGGCAACCTATCACGGTACCACGCTTGAATTCACTGAGCTCCTGAGAGTGACCCATTCTTTCACAAATGTTTGTAGAAGCAGTCTGGATGCCTAGGTGCTTGATTTTATACACCTGTGGCCATGGAGGTGATTGGAACACCTGAATCCAATGATTCCCATAGACACCCTCCTAAACCTTGTGGACAGCCTTCCCAGAAGAGTGGAAGCTGTTATAGCTGCAAAGGGTGGGCCAACTCTACACTGAACCCTACAGACTAAGACTGGCATGCCATTAAAGTTCATGTGCGTGTAAAGACAGGCATCCCAATACTTTTGGCAATATAGTGTATATAAATAAAATAAATTAATATAACAAATTACAAATTAAAAGTTACTCCATCCAACTATGCAACCTACACACGTGAACAGGGGCGGACTGACAGCTCATGGGGCCCCGGGCAATAGGGGATCATGGGGCCCCTGTGTCCTTGCCCAAACTCAAAAAAGCCTATGAAAAAGGTACCAGGGGCATCTCATGGGGCCCCCTACTGACCCCGGGCCCTCGTGCAGTGCCCGAGTTTCCAAGTGGTCAGTCCGCCCCTGCACGTGAACATACTTACACAAAGTTAGAAAGTATGCATGTACAAAAACACCTATTGCATCCTAGAAATCCCCACACATGCCAGTGGTAGAAGAACAATTCTTTTTTTGTGATGTGACTTCCTGTTAGAGGGTGACTACATTCATTTTCCATGGTACCACTGTGTGTAGGACATACCACCCCCTCTTGCTCACTCCTGAGAAGGCCTATGGACTAGGGGATTTGCAGTGTGCTTAGAGCAGTATACATGACTACAGCTAACATGAACTGCTCATTCAAAACAAGTGGAACTGAGGGGGAAAGGAGAGGTTCTCAAGCTCACAGAGGACATTACAAGGAGGCAGAAAAAGGGTAATTGAGTAGTAAAACTGCATTTGTTTTACATGTTTATCCAGGTTTTAGAGCAGCATATGTTCCCATCCAAACAATATCTTTTTCAGAGAAGGCCTTGTATATTTCAGCAGGACAATGCTAAACTGCATACTGCATCTATGACAACAGCATGGCTTCGTAGTAGAAGAATTAATGTGCTTAACTGGCCTGCCTGCAGTGCAGACCTTTTACCAATTGAAAATCTTCTAATCAAAAATACAACAAAGACAACCCAAGGCGGTTGGGCAGTTAGCATCCTATATCAGGCAAGGATGGGACAACATTCATCTTAAAACTTCAACAACTGAACTCCTTATTTCCCAGATGTTTACAGAGTATTGTAAATGAACAGGGGATACTACATTGTAGTACACATGGTCCTGTCCCAACTTTTTTGAGACATGTTGCTGCCACCAGATTCAAAATGACCTATTTTTTTCCTAAAATGGTTTAAACATTTGATATGTTTTCTCTTTTACATTGTGAGTAAAATATGGGTTTATGAGATTTGCAAATCATTCTGTTCTGTTATTATATAAAGATTATACAAAGTGTTCCAACTTTTTTGGAATTGGAATTTTGTTATTTTTTGTGTTCCTGATCTTCATGTCTTGATTATACATTATAATTAATATTTCTGTGAAACAAAATGATTTCTCTACGTATGTACTCGTGCTTTTTGAAATAACTTTAATAAAAACAGTTATTGAAATAGAAAATGCACAACAAAGCATGCCAATGCACACTAACATGTGTTTTCATTGATTTCAAAGGAAAACACATTGGGAGATAAAATGCATAGTGTAAATCTAGTCTAAAGTTTGGTCTAGTCCTGATGGTTTTGAATACACCTGAACATGACTAATCACAAAGCATAAAAGAAAGATCTTTATGCAGTGAAAATATATTAATTAACTATTTGAAGCCAATTCTAGGTGTCCTTTGGTTCTAAA